CCATAATAATCATATACAGTGTATATTGACAAAATAAAAATTTAACAACAAAAAAAATAAATAAAAAAAATAAAAATAAAAATAAAATAAAAATATAATTATGATGACTATGTTGCAACAGAGAAAAACTGTTTAACATTAAATAAAAAAAAAATAAAATAAAAATATAATTATGATGACTATGTTGCAACAGAGAAAAACTGTTTAACATGCCATATTAAAAAATAAAAGAATACAGAGAAAAATTGATAGCTTTGACAACATTAAAATTTAAGACTTCTCGATAGTAAAAGATATTATCACCTTATACATAGTTCCATGATAGATGACAAACTGGGAAAAACGTTTCTGGTTTATATAGCTTATAGCTGGTTAGTGTTCAATTAAAATGAAGAATGCTTCAATTGAAAAGTAAAAGACATGAAGTAGAAAGGATATACCACTTTAGTAATAATAAAAGACATCTAAATAAAACAACAATATGCTAAGTTTTACCTTAGTATTAGAAAATATTAAAAATATTGACTAAGCTTGATGTTGGCCAGACCCTAAGGAAACAGATACTCTCATATACTATTGGTAGGAGCATAAACTGGTGCAAACATTTCGGAGGGAAGTCTGATGTATATATACCCTTTTGCTAGACAATTACAAATCTAGGAATTTGTCCTGTGTAGATAATTCACATTACTCAAAATAAAATCAGAATATTTTTATGTTAGAAAAAAATGGGAAACAAAATAACTGTCCACCAATAGACAGCTGATTAATAAAATTATGGCATATATACATATATGAAATATAGATGTGTGTGTATTTACAATCACTAAAACTGTTGAGCTACAGAGATCATGCTTGATACAGAGAAATGTCTCTAACATATTGTTGCATAAATAAAGAATTGTTACATTAATGTTGTTGCATGACTGTCTTATGTTCTTCCAATTATGAAAAATTATGAACTTATATTTCTATGTGTGTGTAGCATAGAGAGAGAATTGTAAGCCTGTTTACTGAAAGGCTAACAACAACTGAATTGCAGGGGATACTGAGAAATGCAGGGAAGCACATGAAGTATTTGATGAGTACAAACCATCTCTGCAAAGGAGTCTTCATTCTTTTTTTATTATTATTAATTTGAATTTTATTGGTTTTGTGGGTTTGAATTTTATTTATAAACACAATTTGTTTATAGTTATGCAATAACTTTAGAAGTATAGTTTATATCCACTTTTATTTTCAAACATGTTTGAGAATAAGTATATGTTATACGAAGGTACTTTAAAAGATCAGTTCATGGAAAGACTCATATTATCTTTTAGTTCTATTTTCCTGTGAACTTTTTGAAGTACCCTTCCATATATTTATATATAAAATCCCCACTTTACAGATAGTGAAACTGAGACACAGAGAGGCTAATTAATTTGTGCAAGAAGACATAGACAATAGTGGGGCTGGGATTCAAACCTAGGCCCTCCAGCTCCAGCCATTAATCTCTGGTTTGCACACAGCCTTAGAGAAACCAGGCAAACAAGGACTCAGAGGGAGGTCTTCATTCTTAGTCAAGCATTTTTTTTTTTTTGTCTTTTTTCCGTGTCCGGCAACGGATTGCAACCCTCAGTGTTGCCCCTGTACCGGACCGGGACCGGCAACGGATCGCAACCCTCGGTGTTGCTCCCGCGCCTCGCTCAGCCAGTGAGCGGGAACCGGTCTGTACGTGGGATCCGAACCCTCGGCGGGAGCGCCGCCGTGCTTCCCAAGCGGTGCACTATCGCAGTGCGCCACCGGGCCGGCCCCAGTCAAGCATTTTTTTAAACCATTCTTATTTATTAACTAACTGCTTGATTCACAGCTTTGCCACCGGGCCAACCCCAGTCAAGCATTTTTTTAAACCATTCTTATTTATTAACTAACTGCTTGATTCACAGCTTTGCTTTGTTTGCACAAGTTAAGTCTTTGCTTCAATAGTTGAAACAGAAAATTATTTATTTGATTCACTAATGATTATAGTTTGTGAACTGTTTCTATAACATTGGTGGTAATGGTAGCACAGGATAGACCATGGCCTACTTTTAAGCTAAATAAAACAGAAATCTTTAAATCAAAAAGAAACATGGCCATGCATAAGCAAAAGCAATGGTGACACTGGTGCCCTCCCCACTGTCCACATGCTATGGTGAAGCATATCAGAATATTGACGCATAATTAGAATTAGTGTGAGTTGGTACTAATGACTGCACAATTGCACATAAATTCTGAGGATTATGAATGTTTCAAAAATTTGGATTACACATCTTGGAGTTTTATATATATATAGGAGTCACTACCTCCTTGGTCAGGTTACACTATGTGCATAATCTGGAAAAGGGCTAGAGATAGAGAGACCTTTCAAAGATTGGTAAGACACAGCATCTTACCATGGATCCCACAGTCTAGTGATGCTCACAGCACTAATCAGAGTGCCCTGTTCTGTGCTGGGCTTGGTGGGCTAGAGTGGCTGCTTTGCAGGGTTACACTCTGCTCACCTGATGGGGTTCTCTTTGTTCATAACAACAAAGGCAAAGAAGAACTATGAGCAGAAATGCCGAGACAAAGACGAGGCAGAACAAGCTGTCAACCGGACCGCCAACCTGGTAAACCCGAAGCAACAAGAAAAGGTACCTAGGAGGGCTGACAACCTGAACAGTCTGAGATTTACATATATCAGGTTAAAGCCAATTAGGAATCTTAATAAAAAATAGACCTGTTCCCTAAGATCCTGGCAATATCTTCGGGTCCTCTGAACCAGAAAAACCCTTGTCACATTTTTGGGGTTTGGGGAAGAACTAGAGAGTAGCACAGCCATGGGGGAGGGCGAGAGGTCATAAGAGGCTGGAGGTGGGTTTTTCTGATTTTTTTCACCATTTCTTCAAAACTTGGCTCATGTATTCTTTATAGCCAGGTTGCCTCTTTCTTGGGTAAATTGTAAATTTAATTTTGTAAGATCTGGGTATAAGATTTCAGCAACCAGAGGGCAGAGATGTCTTTAGGAAGAAGTGGGGCAAGATGCTTTATGGATATTTACAGATAGTGATAAGATCAGAGGGCAAGTTGAATGATTTGTTCATGGAAGAAATGTAGGTAGGACTTGGACTAGACCTTATCTCTTCATAGTCATTGCTTTTAAATGTTTTGCCTGCGAAATCCTGGCCCAGCATTTCCGATTCTTCTTCTTTTCTGTTTTCACAGCTTTTTGTGAAACTGGCAACTTCAAAGACTGCAGTAGAGGACTCTGGTGAGGAGGCCGCTCCTATGGATAGGGGAGGGTTGGTGGTGGGGTTTACATGATCCTAAATGTGTCTCTGAGAAAGGCAGTTTTATATACCTTGCAAAAATAATACATGGATGTACAATAGGATTAACAAGATATCAGAAGAGAAGAAGGGTGGAATGAAGGGAGGGAGGAAGGGAGAGGAGAGGGGAAAGGAGAGGAAGGAGGAAGGGAGTGGAAGGAGGAAGGGAGTGGAAGGAGGAAGGGGGGTGCATATCTGAATCCCAGAAAGTGGGAGGAAGCAAACGAGTCAGCAGTGTTTGGCTGCTGCCTGCTTAGGTCTTGCTGCCTTACATGTGAGCGAATGGTAGCAGTGGAGTCTCGTGGTAGCTACTTTGTAATCAGATGCTCAGCTGTGATTTATTGGAGACATCTGTCTAAAAGCCCTTTTCAGCCCTGGTAGCCTTTGTCTGCTGTGAAAGAAACAGACAAGTTGCAAGGCCTTGACATCATCAAAATCTAAAACACAAACCAAGTGTTTGCAAGGCTTCTCATTCCCAGAATATCCTGCAGAACAAGCCTCTTGTGACCACAGTCACTTAAGAGGTCTCTAAATCCAAAACTAAAGTAGCTCGGTGCCCCTTTAGGGCTCGTGTTAGTTCTATTCTCTGCATCCCTCACTGGATAATTTTCCTGAACGTGAAAAGCGACGGGAGCTACTGAGCGGGATTAGACAAAGAAAACTCCGGCTGAGGTTCCTCTTCAGCTGTCACTTGTTCCTGGAGCGTTTGTTGCTCAGTGCTTGGATCAATGTTCAAAAACGAAGTGATACCCTCCTTTGCTTATTTCACAAAGATATTATGAGGGTGAGAGTGTAATTAAGTCCTTCCAATGTTCACAGCTCCTCGCGGCCTTGCGAGCTCAGCGCAACTCTGACGAGTTCCTTTTGCCATCTGAGATGAGCCTGTGGGGTGGGTCGGCGAGTCACCCTCCTCTCTAACTTCTGAACCCAGGCCCCTCCCTTCCATTGCAGACAAAGCGTACATGCTGCACGTCAACATGCTGGATAAGATCCGGGAAGAATGGCAGAGCGAGCACATCAAGGCCTGCGAGGTACCCGGAACTGGAAGCTGCTCAGGATGGGGGCGGGTCTTCCGCCTAGAACCTGGGGAATCTACTTCTGTAAATGTACATGCTGCACGTCAACATGCTGGATAAGATCCGGGAAGAATGGCAGAGCGAGCACATCAAGGCCTGCGAGGTACCCGGAACCGGAAGCTGCTCAGGATGGGGGCGGGTCTTCCGCCTAGAACCTGGGGAATCTACTTCTGTAAAAATGCTCCACCTCATTATTATAGCACCCCAATTCTAATGGAGTTAAAGAGCTTGAGTGCAAATGAGGAATCAGGAATTTAAATGAAGAATGGAAGGAACTGGAATAGTTTCCCCCAAACCTTATTTTTTTTTTTTTTGTCTTTTTCCGTGTCCGGCAACAGTTCGCAACCCTCAGTGTCTCCCCCGTACCTGACCGGGACCGGCAACGGGATCGCAACCCTCGGTGTTGCCCCTGCGCCTCGCTCAGCCAGTGAGC